CATATTTATAAGGTTTATTGTCAGCATGAATCCTTTTGTGTGCCTTCAAAGAATATGCTTCGTTGAATTCCTTCACACATACATCACATTTATAATGTATTCTCATGTGTATGTGTAAGTCACCTGAGCTATTGAATGTCTTTCCACATATGTCGCATTCATATAATTTATCACCTTTGTGTGTTTTCAAGTGTCTCCGTAAGTGACATAATTGGTTAAAGACCCTCCCGCAGACACTACATTCACGAAGTTCATCACCGGTATGTATCCTAATGTGCATCTGCAAGTTATTTTGGCATCTGAATTCTTTCCCACACATATCTCATTTATATGGTTTATCATCTGTATGTGTCCGGATATGTTTCTGCAAATCACTGGATCTCTTCCCAAAGGTATCACCTGTGTGCATTCTTATGTGTCTACGTAACCTACGTAACTAGCTAAATGTCTCCCCGCATACATCACATTTATGAAGTTTATCACCAGAATGTGTTCCCATGTGTCTCTGTAAGTGATCTATACGACAATATGTTTTCTCACATATTGCACAATCAAAACATTTTTTACTTGGTGCCTTGATAGGTTTCACTGTACTTTCTGTTTGATTGAGAGCACTGGTAGGTTTTACTGCACTTTTTGTTTGATTGAGAGCACTGGTAGGTTTCACTGCACTTTCTGTTTGATTGAGAGCACTGGTAGGTTTTACTGCACCTTCTGTTTTGATGTCACTAGCAAAGTGAAGACCACAGAAGTTTGAGCAATTCATTTGTACCACCTGCAGAGTTGACAAAAACAATTTGAAATGATTTGTTCAAGTTATTGTTTGATGGCAAATCAATCTTAGATACCAATTTAAACGTCACGTCATATAGCTTACTATGACGTCATGTCATATAGGCCAGTAGAATATATGGTTGTAACCTTAACATACTTGCGTAGGATATGAATGTTCCACCGAGTGTGTATTAGTAATGCAACATGAAAATATTTTATAAGTGTATGAAGTTTGATGAAAACATCTTGGACAGTTCCTTAAAATTGAACTCTAAAATTGGAGGTCGAGGTTACAGGAAAGTGCATGGTCAAATGTTTTGATACAGTTGAATAGCTCCCACTAATAACGTATCAGCATATTACAGTGTATGGTTATTTTTTTGTTTTGTTTTTTTTTAATTGATAAAAAAATCTTTAATGGTCTATTTAAAAACACTGTTCTAAATACTTGTCTAAGAAAAGAAAGGTTAAAAAAATTATGCAGTAGAAAAGCATGTATCAGTATAAATCAACAAATATGAACTTTGATTACACAATCTTGAATTGTATCTTTAAAACTGAGCTTACCACTAATTTAAGTAAAGCTAAACATATGAAGTTTGATCGCACTATCAATCTGAAAAAAAACATTTTGAAAGTTTATATTTAGAAGTTTGAAGTAAATTTCAAACAAAAAATTGTTACTTTACTTTATAGATTGCTGTGCGTAAATTTCTAAACAAACAGTAGATTAAAAACTCAAAAGTTTAGAATGCAAAAACCGTTTTTGGAAATTTGAAAAATGAATATTTAAGGTAAAAATCGAAAAAAAAAATTGAAATTGTGAACTTGTTTGGAAATTTGATAATTTCGATTTTAAGACTAAAATATTGAATTTTGATACACCAAATCAGTTAAAGTTTTTGAAATTTAGAAGTTTGAACTATTTTATTAACATTCTAAAACTCTAAATCATTTTAGAATTTGAATTGTTAAGTGATACACGGACTAATACTCCACATAAAAAATATATGTATATGAATTCTTCAAAATAAGAATTACACCAAATTCATTCATTGCTAAAATATGTTATAATAACGATGTATACAATAATTGTATTTTGAATTTTATCCTTGATTCATAATCTTCCCTTCCTTCCTGAAACTTATGGATCTGAGGATACTTAAGTTAAAGGATTTAAACAAAAGTATTGATACACAGACAGACATATGGATCTGGGGATTACTTTCAGGCCTTTCGGTACCATGATGCATGACCCGTTATACTAAATTACAAGTAATTACCTTTGAAAATTTCTGCTGTTGATTATTTACTTCTTCATTTGTAGAGCCAGGATTGCCAAATTTCTGCTGCTTTTCTACAACCAAAACAAGTAATCTGTAAAAATAAAACCGAAAGCTCAACCAATCAAGCAAAAGACCTCCTACAAGTATAACAAAAACGTGTTTAAAGTCCCAAAAAATCACATATTATATGAAGGAATCCATCCAATCCCTGCCACCAGTTTTAGGGGCGAACGAGCGGCCGTATTTATTAATATTTCACCCTCAGTATTTGATTTCTCTATTTTGGTAGCGTAAACTCCCCTAAATGTATTGAAACAAGAGTCAAGTGCATTTATTTAAAGTTTATTCACATTTCTCAAAAATGTATACAATCACAAATAATAAACAACAAATAAATCGAAGTTATAAAATTCAAATAATGCCTAAGAATAGAATATCATGATTGAGGTTATAATCAAAGTGTAAAAGTAGTGAGTAGCAGTTTCAGCACGGTATTTATACTAAAGCTCCACTCCTTACAATGAAGAGCTCATATTTTGGATCCCAAAAATTAAGAGTCAATGTATCAATTACATAAATTAATATATGGCAATCCGCAGGCGATACATAACACAATATGTAGGGTAATTTACATTAAGCTTTTAAGTGTAAAGATAAAGATATTCAATGTGTAAAAATAATTGACATCAATTTAAGAATAAATTATGATAACATATTTAAACCGCTACATACGATTTATCGGGTGATTACACCGCCTATACCCCATTTCGAGGATTCAACAATACCCTTATATCGGATATTATACACGATTTCGCGGATAATACCCGATTTCGAGTATTCTCTTCAACCAGATATATTATATATTCAGTAAATACAATTAAAGTTTATTTTTGTCGAATATTGACTGTCGTTTTTCATACAAATTATTCGGTCATTATGTTTAGCAAAATCTATTTTGCTAATTAATTCAGAAAAAATGTAATAACTTTCAAATAATATCATTCCTTTTTTTCAATTTTTAACATCAGAAAAATAACATTTTTGTGAGTGCAGAAAGGTCAAATAATTGACTATGCGAAATAATTTGAAACTACTGTTGTTGTCAAAATTTTAAATGATGAAAAGACTATGCTTGATCCAATAATTCATTTTGGATAAAAGATATTAACTAGAAATCTTTGAAAATTGGTTTATATGGTTGAACTAATTATAGTCAAAAAAGATCATATTAATTGCTCCGTAGTGTCAAAAAGAGCGATATCATTCCCATGTTTCGATTTCAGAAAATCTCAATACTTATGTGCACAGGAACCAACCCCCTTAAATGATGATATGGCAATGTACTGTTACTGTTCCTGTATCGACGACCCAAGAGGGACAAACATCCTGGTAGCATACATTGTCCTTAATCCAGTTACCGGATTTGTTTATTCTTACGGAAAAGTTCTACATTTTCCATATCCTCGTTGGATTATAGATAAATGTTCTATACCTTAAGTACATATACTTCAACATTTTAATTCTCTGTTGAAAATAATTGTCTCAAACCCTATATAATTCTTGGGTTCAAGTCAATTTAGACCAGCTTTCTCTGCGAAACAGAATGAAAACAAATAGAAAAGACTTTTTTTCTTACATGTACCAATTCCAATCATATCTGTACATTTAAAGAATTTATTTCTTTTCTTTTCTATTACTACGATGTATATGTAGTAGACCACATAAATATATCGGGTTTTTTTTATTTTTGACAATTTATAAAATGATTTATGAGGAGAAGACTATCTAAGTTTCTGAACTTGTGCCCGATCCTTTGACTTTATCAATAAAATTGTTCAAGTCAGAAAAGACTTTACGTAATGATGTTACAAATTATTTAATCATGGCTCCTGTGAGAGCTCTCTACAGTCGCGGCAGACAACGATATTATTAAGATTAAGTGTATGACTCTGAGTAACGAGTCTCTTACATGTATAAAACGTAATTCTGCGCAATAATATCGATATTCTGGTATATGCGATTCGTTAACAAAAAAAATCGTATCGCGATACATTTTTCCAGAACTGGTATGCTGGCAAAATGTTTGGTCACAAGATTTTTTAAGTTGTCGGAAGCGTACGAGTATTTAGTTAATTGACCCGAACAGAACCAAACAGTAATGTTGCTTTTTTATTGTTGCATTTTGTTGCCAAACTGTAGTGATATCAACAAAAACAGTTAAAAATATCGCACAGTGAAATCCCCAGCCGATACCCAAACCTAATAAAAGCCCTAATAAAAAGTTTAAAAATGGAACTGTAAATTCCAATCTTTTACAAAGTAGTGGTATATATGGTGCTCTACAACACAATTTTAGTTATATAATAAGACCCGCCCAATTTACTATATATTTTTACCAATTATGCTAATTAGATAAAAGGCTTTTTTCCATACATTCATACCAAAGGCTCACTCTAGTCTCCACCCACTTGGAAGGCTTTCTCCATATATTTATACCAAAGGCTTATAAGAAACTCCACCCTTTAGGAAGGCTTATCATAGGCTTACTCTACATAGTTATACCAAAAGCTCATGGTAGTCTCTACCCATTTTGTAGATTTACTCTATATACGTATACCAAAGGCTCTCAGTCGACTCGGCTTTCTTAGGAGGTTACTATCAGTACATATTGTATTCAGCGCTACGCGCTCATTACTTTGTCAGTGACGCACATACTCAATCTCCCATGCAGAGTTGTCGTTCGGTTCTCTCTCAAACACCTCCGCAATTGGCTCACGTCAAGATATTTAAAATAACGTATAAAACCTGATATTTGCAGGATTTTTTCAAATTAAAATTATAGTTCTGGATTTATTTAGTAAATATCTACCTCAAAACTCAGACATAATCATAGACATTGAATTATAATGAATTAAAACAAACGCACTATTTCTCGTGTTTAACACTGTGATATACGCGAGCCAACAACAGATGTGAATGACCTATGAGCCGATGGTAGAGAGTGGTACATACTAGCAAAATGTCTGCACTACCTGTTCGTAGCTTTATGGATGGCGCCAACACGAAGTGGCGTCATGGATACCAACCGAACTATGATGTCGTTAATGAGAAATTTATGGCAGAAAAAACAATGAATCATAAAGATGGATCTTTAGAACAAGTTGTTGAAAATTTGGTGAAAACTTGGGAAATGGAAAGTTCGCATAAGATGGATGCCGCGGTATGTATAGTGAATTTAAAAAGTATTAAAAATAGATTTCAATTTAAAAAAAAAATGATATTATAGAATTTGTGTTTAGATAATTTATTTTTAACTTGTACGTAACTCATGAGATATGAAACTCGAACTTTTACACATGAATAGCATAAAAGTATATCTTTAGAAATCTAAGAGTCAGGCTCACGGATTAATGCTATTTGACCTAAAAACTTCAAGAACAGCCAAACCCCTTAAATAAAAATCATTTTAAAGAAGCATTAACTTTGCCAATACAGATATCTTCCTAAACTGTCGGTTAATTAAGGTTAGCTAAATATCGAACTTTTATCTTTAAAAGACATTAAGACTCAATTACAAGGAAACACAAAAAATTATATTGATTGCATCATAATACATGTATATGACAAATGCACAATCATTACAAAAACTGCGTTGAAATGCCATTTAGAAAAAAATGTTTCTGATCATTAATAATGTTTAAATGTCATTGACTGAATACGTTTACTGCTGAGATACAGAGTAACATAACGGTGTTAGCTGTAGTATCACCTATCATATTCTCAGACTGACTGCTTATAGCAAAAGAAACTGATGGAATACTAGGCCGTCAAATGGTAATTAGACATAATTATGAAGTGTAAGATTTCGTCAAATTGTAAGAAAGACAGCCTCCTCGAAAGGACATAAACAATCGATATGCTATTAATACAATTCACCTTTTATGATTATCTGTTGTCAATTAAGTGTAATAAATCAAATACTTGGGGTATATGCAATATATTTGAACGTCCAAGAGGTCAAAACCACTCGTCATTCTGTCCTGTCAAGTTACAAAACAACCTGTCTTCAGTTACGTCATTTCGAGCATGGTTTACAATACATGTATGCTTGTATGCAGGCTACAAAAAGGCGACCCGTGCTTTGTTCAAAGTATTGTTATCACTGTTGATTTTAAATATAAAAACTATTCTCCAAACGCGGGGCCCGAGCACTTGTTTTGCTCGATGTCAAATTGCTAAAATTGTTATCTTATAATCTAGTACTGTATTATCGTCATGATGGTATGACGTCATAATCTACTTTTTTTTCCTTTTTAACGCTTTGGTTTTCAGATCTACATAGTATTTTCAAATCTTTTATATTTTAGCTAGATTTTATGTGCATTTGACAGCTTCTATACTTCTTGTTCAGATTTTTTTTTTAATAAAAGATTTTATTTCAAATACATGCATAGTTTCATATTTGAGGCATCACCTCCGCAGAGGCACTCATCATATACATCTCCTGGGGTGCCAGGGGCTCCCTGGATCGGTAACAAATTTTATACATGTATAATAGGTAAATCAAGAAATAATTTTGTTAAATAAATATATCAGGCATAAACTTATATAATATAGTGTATGATTTTAGTAGAAAATAGCTCTATTATAAATATAGTTGGTAACAATGACATCATGATTATACAATTCAATAGACGATAATTAGCTGCTTCAAAAATATGCAACAGTGACATCATGCATATGTTTATAAAAGCCAATATAAGGTTATAGTAGAATATACATAAATTTTACAAACACAATAGTTGACAGTAACATCATGCGGCAGGACTTGCTTTTACAGTTCACCTTCACAGTCCATTTTGTCCTGCCACATGGATGTACATGCAGAGGGCCAGCTCACCCTCTAGTACATATAAAATTGATACAATTAATATACATATAATTAAAAGTTTTGTCACAACAGTTCAGGAATTTTAAAATCTGAATTTATACATTTTGTCTTTTTAATAGTAAAATACAATTGCATCAGCGCGTTTTTTAAAAAGCGACACACTCCTTCATATGTAACCTGGTCTTTAACAATTCTACATTTCATTTTATATTTGTAAATCTTACACGCCAAGAATGACAATGTATTATCTAAAATAAAAGGGTATTAGTTGTTGAAAATAATAAAGCCTATAACAATCATTTTCTATGTTATATCTATCTTTATTGGTTGAGAAATTTTACTCCAGTTTGGCTTTCCAAGTCACATTCGAAAATCAAATGTTTGATATTTTCTTGTGTATCGCAGAAATCACAGTTACCACTGTTGTTTTTATCCCACTTACTAACGGATATATCTGTAGTCAACAGATTATGTAGTAGCTTATAACTAAATTCTGATACAGATTTATCAAATATGAGCGAACTTTATTTTCATATATAGTATCGAAATGACTTTTATGTATTTGGAATTCTCTACACCAGATATTTTCCATGATTGGCTTGTCCGATTTGTAAACTTTTAAATCGCAATTATAAACCCTGTAGCGCTGCGACAGACCGCTCCAAGCTGGTAAGCACTAGCTTGTTTGTCGAAGTATGTCCTTTTTATATTTTGTTGTTAGTTTTGTCGTTGTTACAACGCTCACCAAAAATGTAGTCAAAAGAACTGTTAACTCCAGTGGTTTACGTTCGCATTGGAATTATTGCAGAACATGTTAACACAGATTTGCGATGATAAGAAATCCAACATTCTTACAAAGAATTCTTTGATATTGAGAACCTATCGTCGTATTTTGAAGATAACGATATACAAATGTAACTTTAACATACATGTATTTATTACCGGTTCTAATTTGATTCGTACGCCTTAATGGTTATGGTGCACGGTTTTTTTATGTTCGCAGGGGCGTATTTTCAATATCGATTGCGTAAGCAAGTCAATTGAGATTTGTACTCTGCTGTGTACGTTTCGGGTTCATAAAATTCCCTGTCACCCACTAAAATTGGAACATGTTTTAAGTTTGTGTTCTATTTGGCAATTACTGTAATATACATGAAGTTGACATGCAGGTGATGTGGTGACGTCATTTCATGGGCTTATAAGGTTTAAAGACGTTTGATGTTGGTACATTGTGCAGGATACCAAAATGACGTGGCAAGGCAGGGGAGAAGATTGATATGCTTTGAATTGAATTGTTACAATATGTACAAAGTTGTTCGATAATACACTGCACTTCACGGATCGTTCCTAAAACGTTTGTTTGTTTTTGTATAAAGTGATAAGTTTGTAAATAATTGAATTTCGATTGAGTGCACTGAATTAAAAAAGTAATTTTTTTTTTAAAAAACAGTTCGAAATCATTACACGATTACGTGAAATATTTATTTCGAAGTCCTTTAAAATCTAGGACTTGTCGTTTTTTCAATGAAATGTAACGGTTGTGGTAAACATGTTACCGTTTGAATGCTTTGGTCACTAAACTTAAAACATGTAATTAGGAATTAAAAGAGGATGGTGATCGAAAAATGTCATTGGATGTTTTTAAAGGAATGAATGTCGATACAAACTGAAACCAAGGGAAACAGAAATCCACAACAATCTGAAGCATCTAAATCAATCTTAAATCTATAATTAGTCAATCAGCAAAAATATACACATTCAAATGCCTAAATATAATTGCGGAAACATGTCCTATTCAATGATAAAACTGAAGTCAAAGTTGAGTATGTTCATCGTAAAGCGTGCTATTACAAAACCAAAAGAACAATAAAATCTTGTCTGTCATTAGTCATTTTTCTTTAATATTATTCAGAGTAAAGTTTTTCTATTATTTTAAGTTTATATCCCAGTGACATGCATACATGTAGCCCTTCTAGTAAGCATTCTAGCTTTAATTAAGTTTTTTTACATTCTTTATTGGGGCGGTATATCCCGAGTGATCCTTATTCGTATTTAAATTTTCCACATGTTCTTACATTTGTTTTACATTTAACTTGTACGATTCAGACAAAATAATCAAAGTGCAGATATTTATAAGGTTTGTTATTGACATTTGCCATTTCAGGATTGGAAAAGCGTAGACAAAGAAGTTTTCACCATCTCTTTAAACGGAGGAAAGAAGTTTAACCTAGATGACAACATTAGTATTGGCAACTACAACATGTTAATGTGTGAAAGTCCTCTGTACAGTGCCGTGAAAGAGACCAACCAATCATCACATGACTTGTTCCGGAACGTGTTTAAGACTGGATTTGCCTGGGAAGTGCTGCAAGTGTTCTCTGGTGAGTCAAATGAAAAATTTACACTAACAAACTGTTAGAATCTCATATGTCCATAAAACAAAATACAAATTTTAAAGCCGAGCAAACAAGGACGTCTAAAGTAAGAGGTGGGAACTAATTTAAAGTAAAACATATACGCCTGTAGAGAGAGCTATTGGTCGCGGGTTCGACCACCGTACGCGTCGTACCAAAAATCACGTAAATGGTACGTGTGTCTCTCTTAAGTTTGCTAAGCTTGTTAAATTGCAGAAATATATTTTTCTACAAAATTGTAGTAATTATATAAAGTTGTTTTGTAATCGATCTAAAACATGTACAAAAAAACCTTTTACTTATTATATTAGTGTATGTTACTGTTTGTCCCTCTCTTGACATACGTTTGCCATACTTTTGTAGAGAATACATCTTTGTCGGTCGCCGAGGTTTAGTAAACTGTAAACAATTTTTTTTCTCTTTGAAACGTAAATGCCTGCCAATATAAACAAGCTACCGGTAGAAGCTCGTAAACCATGTGATCGCACATATTTAGATATTCGAAGAATAATCCGTAAATTCCTGTTTGTTTACAAATAATTTTACCATTTTACCATTTTAATCCTATTTTTTGGCGTGACCTGATTTGTGATTTTAAGAGATAATAAGAAACAAGTCATAACAAACATGTCCCGACTATAGAAAGTTAATTGCTTTTAACCTTTTAACATTAACATCGCTTTTTAAAAGTGTAGAAAAACCACACGTCTAACAAGGTGAAGCTACAGTACATCAGTTAGAGTTTACCTGTTTCACACGGTCTTGGTTTAAACATTATGTAGGATTTGTCTCAAAATAAGGTCACCCTAAATTTTTATGCATATTTTGTTTGAGAAAAGAAGTCACTGTCGGGAATTCAACTGACATTTTGTTAAAGGGAACTGTTACACTAAGTGTAAACTTGAAATCAAGTATTGTTTTAATACTAGTTGTAGTTGCATGGGAAAATTGCTTTAGTGCAGCCCCGATTTTTGTAATGAACATTACGTATTTTCTACACTACTATGTATACTGACTTGTGTTCTTTTATATTACTCCATTCTGATAAAACGATATATGTACATGTAGAATGTTTACATGCAATATGGATATAAAATACTATCTTTATAGATTGAGCTGAAACTATTTCATAATAATAGTTTTTTTTTATCAAGTTTAACTGAATGAAACGGAAGGCAAAAATTACTTTGTTGCAAAGTAAGATTAACAACTTTTCTATTTCAGGACCGCCTTTGGTCTCGTTTACATGGAGACACTGGGGAACGTTTGAAGGTGACTATAAAGGTACTAAAGCTACAGGGGAGACAATCGAGATGTACGGCAACTGTGTGGTCAAGGTCAACGACGAAATGAAAATCCAGTCTATTGATGTATATTATGATCCAAACCCTTTCTTGATGAAACTGACCAACTGGAAATCTGGAGCTGACTGTCCAATGGCTAAATAAAGGATAGATGGACAGTTACATTGTTTTTACGCTTTCTGTTATGCTATCACATATGGCATTGCAAACCTATAATTACAACCCTTGCATTTATATGCTAACAACACGAAACCGAAGAGGCAAAATTTGTGCAAATTTTTCTATCAGTCTGTAAACAAATGTTATGTAAAGCAGAAAATAGTACCACGATGTCGTCGTTGATATCTAGGTTAGTAAGATCAATAGGTAAATATAGTCATTTATGTTGGCATTTTTTTTTATTGAATATAATAAAACCATTTGAAATATAAGCTCGCTTTGAATCCATATTTGTATATGCTTATATGTGCAGTATCGGGGCTACTCTTTGGTCCGTCACAAAAAGTAAAAAAAAACTTTACAAACAACGAAGCAAGCAAGTCCAAACTTTTGTCCAACTGTGGTTGCAAAACATTTGCCTTTTACATTCTACTATATATATAGATTTGGGTTGAGGATTTCCTTTAAATAATTCTACAGAGGCTCTTTAGAAGCAGACGGTTTTAAATAACTCAGTGTAAGCCAATGTTTATTGCAGTGTGGATATGATTTATATTGTACCCTTATATTTTGTAGTCAAAAGAAGGACATATATGTCTATTAAACAATACATGTACAAACTATATTCTTGTTGTCAAAATAAACTACTGTTTTCTTATTTATTACAGGATCGTTTTTGTTGACTTACATATAAAAAGGCAAGAAGATCTAAGTAGAAATTATAAGGACGCCAAAAATGGCATGTATGACTGAAGCTGCGTGCGCTAAACAATACCTCTTGACTAATAAACATTTTAATTTATTAAACAAGCTTACCAGGTGTTAGAGACATCGATTTTTTTTGGATGTAATACCAATTTGGTCCCGAACCCGATATTAATAGGATTTTATATTTTTTTATATTAGCAACCACAGTACAAAGACTTAGGAATCAAATTTAAAGTTTAAAAATGTCAATTAAAAGAAATAAATTATCACTCTAAAGGACTAAACAAAATATATAAAAACTAAAAAAAAAAAGCTGAAAGTAATGACTGATTTAAAAAAGGACACAACTAAATTAATAATTAAAACAAGAGGCCCAAGGGCCTTGAATCGCTCTTCTGATAAATTGTACAATGTATCACTTCTATTAGAAGCCTCCAACTCTATTAGTATCATAAGACCCAAAATGCATCAACTTACAAAGTTTGATAATATTTAGCCAGTTAAGACTGAAGATATAATATAATAATAAAATACCATAAGTAGGTCACAGTGACCTACCTTTTGATTGAAATTTGCTGAGGACTCAAGATACATAAATTGACAAAGACTGATGATTCTAATTAAATAAGTACCTGAGATATTCAAAAGTAGGTCACCATGACTTACTTTTTGGTCAACATTCTCTGAAAACCCAAGATGCATCATCTTACAAAGTTTGACGATTCTAAGCCAATTAGTACCAGAGATAATTAAATATAGCCAAAAGTAGGTCACGGTGACCTACTTTTTGGTCAACGTTATTCAAAAACCAAAAATGCCTAAACTGACAAAATTTGAAGATTCTAAGCCAATAAGTACTCAAGATATTCAAAATTAGGTCACCGTGACCTACTTCTTGCTGGACATTCAATGAAACTCTAAGATGCCTCAACTGACAAAGTTTGATGATTTCGAGCAATTAAGTACCAGATATAATTAAATATAGCCATAAAATATCAAAAGTAGGTTACAGTGACCTACTTTTTGGTCGACATTCTCCGAAAACCCAAGGTGCCTAAACTGACCAAGTTTGATGATTCTAAGCTAATACATACCTGAGATAATCAAAAGTAGGTCACCGTGACCTACTTTTTGGTCAACCTTCTTCGAAAACCCAAGATGCCTCAACTGACAAAGTTTGATGATTCTAAGCCAATAAGTGCCTGAGATACTTAAATATAGCCATAAAATGTCATAAGTAGGTCACTGTGACCTAATTTTTGGTCAACAATCTCTGAAGACCCAAGATGCATCAACTGACAAAGTTTGATCATTTTAGGTCAATAAGTACCAGAGATACTTAATTTTAGTCACAAAAGGTCAAAAGTAGGTCATCATGACCTACTTTTTGGTCGTAACTCTCCAAAAACCCAAGATGCATCAACTCACAAAGTTTGATCATTCTAAGCCAATTAGTACTGGAGATACTTAAATAAAGCCATAAAATGTCAAAAGTAGGTCACCGTGACCTACTTTTTGGTCGTCACTCTCCGAAAACCAAATATGCATCGACTCACAAAGTTTGAAGATTCTAAGCCAATAAATACCAAAGATACTTAAATATAGCCATAAAATGTCGAAAGTAGGTCACCGTGACTTATATCTTGGCCGACATTTTTCAAAGACCCAAGATGCATCTACTGACCAAGTTTGATGATTGTAGGTCTGAAGGTAATCAAAATATGCGATTTAAACAATTTGAAAACAAAAGTCAGCAGAATTCAAAAAGTAGGTCACAGTGACCTACTTTTTCATAAATATGTCTTAAAGTCCCAAGATGCATCAAAGTACAAGATTTGATGATTCTAAACCTTACAGTGTCTGAAATAAAGGGATTTAATGTTTTTAAAAGGATAAGTCATAAAGTTCAAAAAGTAGGTCACGGTGACCTACTTTCAAGTTGACAGTGTTTGAGGACCGAAGATGCATCAACTGACAAAGTTTGATGATCATAGGCCTTAAAGTGTCCAAAATATGCCTTTAAATCAATTTGAAAACAAAAGTCAGCAGAATTCAAAAAGTAGGTCACAGTGACCTACTTTTTCATAAATATGTCTTAAAGTCCCAAGATGCATCAAAGTACAAGATTTGATGATTCTAAACCTCACAGTGTCTGAAATAAAGGGATTTAATGTTTTTAAAAGGATAAGTCATAAAGTTCAAAAAGTAGGTCACGGTGACCTACTTTTAAGTTGACAGTGTTTGAGGACCGAAGATGCATCAACTGACAAAGTTTGATGATCATAGGCCTTAAAGTGTCCAAAATATGCCTTTAAATCAATTTGAAAACAAATCCCCGCAAAATTTAAAAAGTAGGTCACCATGACCTACTTTTGAGTTAACATGATGTGAAGTCGTAAGATGCATCAACTTACAAGATTTGATGATCCTAGTCCTTACAGTAAAGAAAATATACACGTTTTTATTAATTGTAAATTTAGGTCAACTTTGAAGTGACCTTGAGACCACGCCCTTTGCCCCAGGGTCATGCCTTGAACAATTTTTAATCTTCAACATATCCTAATCCTTGTATGTAAGTTTGGTGAAAATCTGCCTGGTGGTTCTGGAGAAGAAGATTTTTTAGCAACCAGTACTTTTGGTTTTGTTTTCCTGATTATCTCCCCTTGTTTTAGGGTCCCAACCCTTATTTTAGTATAAATGGTAGCCCTTGGGCCAAGGATACCCTGTGACAAATTTGACACTGATTGGCCAAGGGGTTCTTGAGTTATGGCCCATATTCTAAAAAGTTAACGCACACCGCATACCGCACAAATGGCCATAGCATTAGCTCTTTGAGCCTTTGGCTCAGAAGAGCTAAAAATAAACAACAATATAAACTGTTGTATATCTAGGAGCAAGCAAATGCATTAAATATGATCAAGCGAGATATGCAAAGTTATGCTAGATAATATACTTTTTGATGACAGACAAAATTCAAATTAAATTTTAAAATAAAAATATACAGAGTAGGAGACACATTGGCAAAAGCTATGCGAGCAAATCAAGGATCAACAATAATTCATAACTTTAAATTGATTGATCAAACACTATAGACTATAAGGTTACTTAGTAAAATTTTTACCAAGATTTTTTAATCTCCACCCCATTTGTTCACCCCCTTTTACTTTTAATTGTTTTTTTTTTCTCCAACTCTTTTTTGCTTTTTTCTATTCTGTCATGTAGTATACGGAAATTATTTATATATACCGTAAATCTGGAAATTTTTACGTCGATTTATTTTTGCGAATTTGGGTCAAAAAGCTGTTGATTAATTTTTACGCTTCAAATTTTTGCGAATTGTCACTGGTGCTAAAAATAAAAATCACTGAAGATTTTCATATTAGGTTATGTTTCAAGTAATATGCCCAGTTAGAATACCACCAATATACTCACAACGTGGCAAGATATTGCAAAATCGCTCCGAAACAATTTTGATAAAAATACAAAAGGATTTGCACTGAAAATAATTTTTAAGTCAATTATAACAAACATTTTAGAGGTTGTGTATGCCTTTTAACCTAAAGTATAATCCAAATGAAGAAAAATATAACTAATTTTCTCAACGTTTGGTTTTTCTCACCTAAAATTTACACGCCGCGTTTACATTTGGAACTTTCTAGTAAATGCACTGAGTTTGAGTTATCGCCCGTGTTGATACACGGTTAGATAAAATGGCAGTTCTCTCTTTATTGGCAAATTAATTGATTAAAATAATTAAAAAGGGGCATACCGCCTCAGTGCTTGTCAAATCATCGGACGATATTGCATATAATGAGGGCAATTTACGCACGGGTAATTAACTTGTAGTTATAGTAGACTAGTGTAAACAGGTTTCTTTTAAAAATGACCAGTGCTTACCGACACCTATTCACTGAGTTAAAAAAAGACACGAGCTCTCAGAAAAAAATTCTTCGCATGTTGATTTATTTTTAAGAAAAATATTTTTGCGAATTCAATGCACGCGCAAATTTGCTAAAAATTTATCTACAGTAAAAATTTCCAGATTTACGGTATATATATTGTATAATGAGTAATTTATAAACAAATAGCTGTTTTATCTGTACTTTCCGGTAAATCGGATGTAAATATAATTCGAAGTGTTATTTTACTATAATTTGTCACTAATTTCGTAATTAGAAATTTATTCATCTATGTACTGTATTTCTTATTCTGTATTCATACTTTGCAAATAAATTCTTTAAAAAAAATACAAAATTCATATTAATGCAATACTTCAAAGTGCAAACATTCTTATCCTAAATATTGAGGAATATATTCTGATTATAAGCTCTAAGAGGATTTGAAGGACTTAAGATGTTTTTGGAGAGGATGAACATTTATACCCCCCCCCCCCGTTAAAGCATCCAACTTTATAACAATTTATAATTGCATAATTTAAGAAAGGTCCCAAAATACCACAAATATCATGTAGCTAAACGTCAACTGTATATACTCCAGTGAGTTGGATATAAAAGACACTACAGATACTGACATGTCTGTTCCATATTTGAATAATTTACTTGAAAAGGACACAGATGGTAACTTATTTAGAAATGGTAACAAAATTTGTGATAAACGTGATGATTTCAATTTTTTCATCGTCAGCTTCCCTTATTAATGTAGCAATATGCTTTCAACACCCCTTTATGGGGTTTACGTCTCTTAGCTTATTCAATATACATGTACATGTACAAGAGCGTGCTCTACATACGTACAATTTATTATGCGATGCAAGCTAATGACTGACAATTTGTTGAAACAAGAATATCAAGAACTTCGATTAAAATCATTATTTCGTAAGTTCTTTGTAGTTACAATGACCTTGTCAGCAAATATTTCTTTAAGTCAAATGCTGACTGACGTTTTTCATCCTTGTAAGGCAATTTTTACACCGAACTGACTACGGGGATTTTTTTTCCTCCACTGAGTTTGACAATGAGCCGGCAGGGGAAGCTCACTCCTCTATGGCACCTGTTCTCACCTCTTACTTTAGTGGTCCGCGTTGGCTTGGCTTTTGAATTTGTATTGTGTTTTATGGACTTATGAAATGTCTAACAGTTCGTTAGTGTCATATTTCACATTCTCAAAAGAATAAAATAATCTTCGAACTCATCAGACCCGAATACTACTAAACATGTCAAAATTGTTCTTTAGAACCAGTTTCGGAAACGAAATCCTACTCATTTAAGTATCATTGCATTTAAAGTTGCTTGAATAAAGGAATGGGAATAAAACCCTTTACAAACCCCCTGAAAACGCATTCGAGGATTTTCCAGGCAATTCATACTCTGATTCGGGCGTTAGGAGGTCACACGAATTGTTCAGACAT